ACATTTAACAGCCCAAGATCTGAACCTGTTTCTCAGCTTATCAAGAAGCGGCTCATACTCTGCTATTCTCAACTTCCTACACATGAGAGGCAAGCCCAAATAACGAATTGGAAGGGTACCTTGTGGAAAGCCAAAATCAGAGATGGACTGAGATTCGATGTGGTCGGTCCCTGCAAGATAAAGGTGCGTTTTATCCTTGTTGACCTGCAACCCCGACCACGATGCAAAATCATCAAGAGCCTCAGATATTCCATGGAGAGAGGAACATCCACCATCGAAGAAAATCATCACATCATCCGCAAACATCAAATGGGAGATAGAGAGATCACTAGTTTTAGGATGGTAGTGGATGTATCCAGCATCAAATCTAGATTGAAGCAACTTTGAAAAAACTTCCATTGCTAAGACAAAAATGTATGGAGAGATGGGGTCACCTTGCCTTAGACCTCTTGTACTTTTAAAATGGCCACCAGAAGTTCCATTGAGAGAGATTGTGAATGTAGGCGAAGAAATACATTGAAAAATCCAGTTAATAAACCTCTCAGGAACTTGAAGAGATCTGAGGGCTGAGATCAAGAAATCCCATCTCACAGAATCAAAAGCTTTCTTTAGATCCACTTTGAGCATTCCACGGGGCTCGATGTTTTTTCGGTTATAACCATGGACAATTTCTGTGGCTAACAAGACATTTTCTGCGAGCAGCCTCCCAGGTAGAAAAGCCGATTGGAAAGGGCTGATCACCTCAGAGAGGAGCTTTTGCAGCCTAATAGTGAGCAGCCTAGAGATGACTTTATACACCGTATTTAAGCAGGAGATGGGTCTAAAGTCGGTTGTTCAAGAAGCATTGGGAGTTTTTGGGATAAGGACAAGCGTTGTTTCATTCCATTGCTTCAACAAGTTCCCTGTGGAGAAGAATTCCTGAACCGCTTCAGTCACCTCAGGACCAACAGTTCCCCAGAGCCCTTTGAAAAATTCTGCAGAATAACCATCTGGACCACTTGTTTTGTTTCTTGGGAGGGAGAAGAAAGCGTCTTTGATATCCTGGTTGGAGAAGTTTGAGTCCAGCGCCTTAATCTGATCTTCAGAACATCTGAAAGAGAGGAGCAGGTTCATGTCATGCTGCTCAAGCATAGGAGGACTTACCTCAGGGCCAAGAAGGGAGGCAAAGTAGTCCACACAATGCTCTAGAATTCCTTGCTGAGAATCGATCCTAATACCATTGTCACTCTCCAGGAAATGAATGGTATTAATTGCTTTTCTAGAGTCCGCTATCCTGTGGAAATAGGCGGTATTGCTATCACCATCCGCCATCCAAGATATTCTTGATCTTTGATAAAAGAAGCTCTCCTCAGCGCCAACAAGGATCTGCCATTTTCTTTGAGCTACCAGTTCCAAAGATGCATTTAAAGAGGAAGGATCTGCAAGCGTTTTCCTTTGACAATCCAAAACTTTTTGGTGAGCCTCAACAACCCTTTTTTCGATATCAGAGAAGTTCTCTCTACTGAATTCCCGGATAAAAGGCTTCAGAATCTTCAATTTACGCGAGACCCTGAACATAGCAGAACCCACAACATTTGCTGAAAACCATTTTTCACTAATCCAAGGAGCAAAATCAGGGTTTTGGAGAAGAAAGTTAAAAAATTTGAACGGGCATTTTACTTTCCTTTGGCATCTTCTAAAACAACTCCAGAGACAGCATGGTCAGAGAAATCCGGCTCACCGAACATTCCAAAAGCTGCTGGAAACTGATGGGACCAGGCTTCATTCACTAGAATTCTGTCCAACTTCTTGGCAACTGGTCTTGTTTCACACTTGTTCCACCAAGTAAAAGTGTTGCCTCTGTAAACCAGATCGGAGAGGTCTGAGTCCATAAGGCAGTTTCTAAACTCTCTGATCCTGCTGTCGACGTTGAGAGAGGGAGGGTTTGAGTGCTCTTGAGGATTGAGGATCTGATTAAAGTCCCCAAGAACCAGCCAAGGAAGGTTTGCAACCTGAGGGGAGCGAGAAGTTAACACTAAATCATTCCACAGATCCTTTCTGGCGAGGTTCTCATTCGAAGCATAAACAATTGAGACTACGATCCAAGAAGTGGCTTTAGGGAGCAGAACTTGACACGAGATCATCTGCAGAGATTTCCCAATTATTTTAACTTTGACACTAGGGTGCCATAAAACCCAAATCTTGCCCAAGTCAGAGAAGGCGTAGTTCTCCTCAAAACACCAGCCAGGCAGAAGGTCATATATAAACTTCTTCTCCTTAGGCTGTTTGACGTGGGTCTCTATAATACCGCCGAAAATAGGTTTATTAAACTTGAACCATTTTTTAAAACCGCTACGATGACTCCGTATATTGAAGCCGCGGACGTTCCAACAAAAAATGTTTGTATACATAATTAAACTTGAGGTTTGAGGCCCCTGCCTCGAAATTTCTTACGATGCCTCTTCGACACCACTTCCTCAAAACCGTGCTCCTCTGGATCACTAGTCAAAACGTCTGAGGAGTCTTCATCTGCTTCGGATTCGTCATGATGCCGGGTATCCAAAGAGGCCACAGCGGGAGAAGAATCAGGAGAAACAACTACAACTGACCTACAGCTTGAGCCACCCACAGCGGGATCACGCTAGGAGCCGCAGATTGAGCCTTCACTACCCACTCCTTACCCAAAGGTTGTTGTTCTTTTGCTTCAGCAGAAACTCCAGGTCTAGAGGGAGTTCTGGATCTCCTTCTCCTCTGAGGTTTCTTTTGATTTGGCCTAAGATCGTTTTCTTTTGGGCAATTACCAGCTCCGTGGGAAGTGGAGGAGCAGGCAGAGCAAGTAATGGGAGCCTTCTTGCAATGCTTCAGGTTGTGGCCAATTTCATTGCAGTGCAAACAGACCGGAGGCATCCAAGGACTTGAGACTCTTATTCTTCGAATATCACCCGAGTCAAATTGGACATTTACCGCCTCAGGCAGAGGCTTTCTCGGGTCTATTAGGGTGAAGACCTTTGCAACCTCTAGGTTTGATTTGTTTGCTGTGGAAGGGTGCAACGCTTTTGAATCACCAACAAGGCTAGCAATCCTCTCAAGACCCGCTTCGTGGAAGAAATGAAGAGGAACATCCCGAAGCTCAAGCCATATGGGGGCAGAGGTCAGCTCTGGCTTGGTAGGGGTAACTCCCGGTTCCCACTTAGCAACAAACATGGTCTTGCCGTCAATCTGCCACAGTCGCTGGACTAGCACACGATTCCTAGTGTGAGCATTAGGGATACGAAACAAGAAAGCATTTCCTGCCATCTTAGAGACCACAATGTCTCTATAAGACTTACTCCATATACCATTCACGATATTGTGGATCGTTCCTTGCGATGGCGGGTCAGCATAGAATTGGCCCAAGATGAAACAATCCCAAGACTTTCTGTTTTTCTCAATAACAGAGTTTGGGATCTTTACACAAGCTTCCCCAGATGGAAGAGTGAAAGCTTCACCAATTTTCTGTAGGGGTCTCGATGAACCTTTGACCAAATCAGCCCAGGAATCCTTTTCAGGAGCAGCGGCGGAGGTTTCTGCAACAGGTTTAACCACGAGAATTGGCTCTGAAGCCTTTGGGAGAGGTAGGGCAGGGACTACGATCTCGACCGAAGGAAGTGACGGCACTGGCTCGGTTGACGAAGCAACTTTCACAGTGTCAATTTTTGCTGGATCTGAGGCTTCCAAGGGGCACGGCAGACCAGTAGATTCAGAAGTTTCCAAAACCGGTACCCGAACGGGCGAATGGGCAACAGAACCCAAAAACATTATTTATTTTTTCTAATTTAATTTCTACTAGTTTCTATGTGTTGCATTGTCAGCTAACTAATCTCGAAGCCGCCCTCTTACTCCAGTAAACTCGATTTAAATTCTAGCCAATATATAGACTTTAGTACGTACTTATTAAACTCTATATAGAGTTTAAACCCTAAGTGTGTGTATGAGAATTGAGAACCTTGGATGTTTCACTGTTCATGTTTTTCCATCATAATTTCTACATGTAAAGACTAAAAATATGTAACTGTGATCATAGCTGTTATTTTACAGATGTTTTACATGTACGAAGAAAACAAAATCTAATGCTAAGTTTTTGCGACACTAATATTTTCGTTATATTTTCTACCATTTCTTATAGTATTAAATGAAAGTCGTTAACAATATCTGGATTTGGCTTTTGCCAAGTCACTTGATCATAGCCTGATAGGTGTAACTTGTTTACGTTACAACATGATGTGTCATGAGTCGTCGACATGGGTTCATCATCATAGTTCATACAATCTGGTTTTTGAAATTGTAGAGACTTTTTCATATTGAATAATGAATACACACATCTTCCATATATAGGTGGGGAGATGTCAGGTTTACGCATTTATAATTTTATGTCCGCTGAGTAAGTTGAACATTTTGGACGTAAAATAGTATTAGTAGCATAACATATAAGTTGTTTGATTACATATTTTTTGCTACCAGTCCCACATATGTATATTATTCAACACTGGTGTCAATTAGAATTAGTGAATAAAAGAACTCAAAAGAGAAAAACTCATAGAAGGTCGAGTAGCGCTTGGGACGAAACCATATAACATATTCTGGTTTCGGATTTGAGGGGATGTATGAGTTTCGGCCCAGAACCTCTTTGATTATTAAAAAAAAAACTCATAGAAGAGAAAACCAAAAACAAAACAAAACCAAAACCATATATCATATTCCTCAGTTTTGTGTGTAAGTTATTCATCATTTATTAATTCAACCTCTTCTTATATTAACATTTCTTATATTAAACTATCTATATATAGAAAAGAGAAAACCAAAAACAAAACTATCAAATTCGTCTAGCCTTTAAAACTACTTTTGTGGGAGGCCTTTGAAGGATAGTGGATCACTGGCAGCAAATGGACATCACTCTATTGCGAACCCACCTTGAGTTAAACTAATAGTTGTGGTCTATTATTTTGGTCGAAATGGATACAAAAAGAAATCTATATCTTGTAAATATGTATATAACCAAAACCTTATAACAAAAATACATATTCAAACATTATTCGAAATAATTTTACCAATTTCATTGTGAACTTTACAACATTCTTAAGACAATTTATTTGTGTATCATGATGTATGCCCTTCTCTTGAGATATCAAAGGCAATCATCCGATGTGAACATCGGAGGAGAGATTCGTGTATTCCACATCCCTCAGCGACTCAACGTCTTTGCCTTGGGAAGTCTTACATTGGAAATAAGCAACGGTGTAAGTCACGAGCATAAACATCCTCAGCACAATGCTCAAACACACAAAGACCAAACACACAAGGACAAAACCGGTGGTTACGGTAGTAACTGAGAGCGGCCTTCTCAAACTGATAATCACGGTCAAGATTTGAGTTAATCCTAGTGCCAATAAGCCAAAGAAGATATTCAAGAGAAACAGTTTTGTCTTCATCCCTTTAACAATCTTTGCAGCTTTCCCCAAAGCTTGGATGCCATAACTTTCCTCTAGTACTGATATGACCATAGATAAGTTCCAAATGATGGCTAAGTAAGATTGAAAGAGAGCGAATATAATCATTAAACCACCAGTCTTGACTATCACGGAACCGATATCAGAGATTTTCATAGAGGAGGATAAAAGGATAGGAAAAAGGATTAGAAAAAAGAGTAACGAATAGCCAATACTGAAAAGAGCAATGTAGAAATACGTCACAAGAGGTCCCTTCCAAGATTTAAGGCTCAGAACAGTGAAATCTTTGATCTTGGTGTGTTCATCTTTAAGAGTAATAGCCGATGCGTGGACCATGACTATAGTAGAAAAGATGTTGATGATGGAGGAGACGACCATGAGGATGTATGTAGAATCCACATATTCGCGAACGTCTGAAAAGATTCTCATAAGAAGGACTGCATACTCCGGGGTGCTTGGATCTGTCGCTGGCAACAAACTTGAGTCGGAGATCAAGTTCATGAGCTCTGGTTCGATGACAAATATGTTAAACAAGAATGCTAAACAATTGAGTAGGAGAGGGAATAACAAAACTGAGAACATCAACTTCTTGTTCTTGAAAAAGAGTTTGCGGGATTCTTTTAGAATACGCGCAACCTCCTTCAAAACATTCAAGAACGAAGATCCACGACCCATTGGTTTCAAAAAGACAAATGAAAGAAGCTCTTGGCTGTTGTGTTTTTGTTAATGGTAGTAGTGAGATGGTTTATAATATAAAAACCCATATCTGCTTAGTTCTTATATACTACTACTAACCATAAGATTGATTGCATGACCCGCTACTTTTCTTAGGAGGAAAGAGTCTTTGGCTTGCCCAAGTCCATAGAACTCTCAGTATTATAACTTAGACAAATTCAAGAACAAAGAAACTTAGCATAATGCATACATGAAAAGTCTAAATGATGGCTTCCATGACCGCGACATAACGGATTAATATATTCTATTAGCTATTGGATTTTTTTTTTTGCTATTGGATTTTTTTGTTTGCTATTGGATTAATATATTCTATTAGCTATTGGATTTTTTTTTTTTTTTTTTTTTTTTGACTATTTCATGATAGTTACATAGACCGGTTTCAGCTCCGAACATGACAAAGTAAGATCGAGAGAAGTTTCCAACAATATGAGTCTTATCCGCAAGGAGTGACGCGGTGACGCCATGTCCCCGACAAGAAGTCAACAAAAACACTGAGTGTTAAAAGACATTTGTGATTTGTTCTTTCTTCTCTTTCTTATTATTATCTTGGTTTTGCAATCTATAGAACCAGTTGTAGTACTATCAAGTCACAAAAACAAAAATCCCTCGCTATATATTATACATATACAACCAAACTTTCCAAGTGTACATATATGAAATATTTAAGGCAATCCTCCTATGAGAGTAGTGAAATATTCAGCGACTCATCAGCGTCTTTGCCTTGGAGGCTCTTACATTGGAAATAAGTAACGGTATAAGTCATAAGCTGAAACATCCTCACCAAAAAGACGGAACTCACAAGGACCAAACAGTAGGTTAAGGTCACGGGGAACGAACTACTCCATTCGATCAGCCGCAAGATATTTACTAATCCATATGACACTAAACCAGTGAAAAGATTCAAGAGGAATAGTTTCGGATTCATCCCTTTAACATTCTCTGCGGCTTTCCCAAATGCGTGAAGCCATATGCCCATAGAAAAGTACCAAATAAAGTTTGAGTAAGACTTCAAGACTGCAAACAGAATCCCTAAAGTGGGATATTTGGCTGCCACGGCATCGAGTTTTGTAGAAAATATAACGAGAGGAAAAAGGATAATAAAGAATAGGAACCAATAGCCAAGACTCAAGAGAGAAATGTAAAAATTGGTCTCAAGAGGTCCCTTCCAATATTTAAGGGTCAGGATTGGAAAGTCTTTGATCTTGAAGCTATCATCTTTATGAATAAGAGCCGATGCGTGGACCATAACAAGAACGCTTAACAGGTTGAAGATGGCGGAGACGGCTATGAATATGTACAAAGAACTGAAAAAACGAGGCAAATATATAAGGTATCTTATAAGATGGGTAGCATCTTCCGGGGTGCTTGGATCTGTCAATGGTAAGAAAAACTTGGATTCAAAGATCAAGTAAGATAAACAATTGAATAAGAGAGGGAAAGCCAAGACTGAGAACATCAACTTTTTGGCCTTGAGCATGAGTTTGCAAGACTGATCATTTAGAGTACCCGTAACCTCCATTATAACATTCAAGAAAATAAACTGATCCATGAGTTTTTAAAAAGAAAAGTGATAAAAGCTCTTGGCTACTGGTTTTTGGTAATGGTAGTTAGGGTTTTATAAGCCATCTGCTTAGTGCTTATATATATAAGTATATAACTAACCATAAGATTGATTGATTGACCAGCTACTTTTCTTTAGCTTGTATCATTTGACATAGTCCAAGTCCACAGAACCACCAATCACAGCCACACCTTACCACTTTCAAGCTTATTTGATCGTATGATCCGCAACTCAATATCTTCGTAAAGACAAAAACACTTAGGAAACTCTAATGCTTCTTTGGCTTTAGATGAACCCATGTTTGTGTCTTCTTTGTAAATTATTGTCTTGTTTTTTTTTTTTTGGCAAGGTATCAAAAGCGATAGGTCTAAACTCTTGTAATTCCAAAACCTTCATTTTCTAATATTCATATCAAAAATAAAAACGAAAAGTCATATGTGACATGGCACAGAGAAGCAACCTTGCTGTATATTATACATACAAAACCAAAGTTCAAAACAAAATATATATTGAACCAAAAATTTGATATAACTTTACCAAAATAAAAGCAAAACTTATAAGACATACAAACAATCTATGTATAATATCATATGTGCCTTTCTATTGAAGTTTTCAAGGCAATTCTCCCATGAGAGTAGTGGAAGACAGTTTCGTATATTCCACATCCCTCAGCGACTCAGCGTCTTGGTTACATTGGAAATAGGTAACGGTATAAGCCACAAGCTGAAACATCCTCACCACAAAGAGTGAACTCACAAAGACTAAACCGGTGGCTAAGATAGCTGGAAATGAACCACTCCAATCAATCAGCCGCAAGATTTGAGATAATCCAAATGACAATAAACCAAAGCAAAGATTCAAGATGAATAGTTTTGGCTTCATCCCTTTAACTATCTTTGCAGCTTTCCCCAAAGCTTGGATCCCATAAGTATCCTCGAGTATCGATATGACCATAGATAAGTTCCACACGATAGCCAAGTAAGACTCAAAGACCGCCAAGAGAATCCATAATGCGCGAATTTTGGCTGCCAGGGTATCGAATTTTGTAGAGAATATAAAGAGAGAAAAAATGATTATATAGAATAGGAACCAATAGCCAAGATTGAAGAGAGCAATGTAGAAACTAGTCACAAGAGGTCCCTTCCAATATTTAAGGGTCAGAATCGGTAAATCTTTGAGCTTGAAGCTATCTTCTTTATGAGTAAGAGCCGATGCGTGAACCATGACCAGAACGGATAAGAGGTTGATGATGGAGGAGACAGCGATGAAGATGTATAAAGAACTAAAAAACTGGCGAAAATATGCAAAGTATCTCATAAGATGAGCAGCAAATTCCGGGGAGCTTGGATCGGTCATAGGTAGCAAACTTGATTCAAGGATCAAGTTTGTTATCTCCGGTTTGATGGCAATAGCGTTGAACAAGTAAACCAAACAAGTGAGTAAGAGAGGGAATGCCAAGACCGAGAACATTAACTTCTTGTTCTTGAGAAAGAGTTTGCGGGACTCATTTAGAATACCCGCAACCTCCATTACAACATTCAAGAAATAAAAACGATCCATGGGTTTTCGAAAAAGAAAAGTGACAAAAGGTCTAGGCTAGTACTGGTTGTTGGTAATGGTATTGAGGGTTTATAAGATCAAACCCATCTGCTTAGTGCTTATATATAAGAATATAACTACTAACCATAAGATTGATTGATTGATTGACCAGCTACTTTTCTAAGGAGGAAAGCGTCTTTGGCTTGTACCTCTCGGTAGCTTCGGTTATGGAGATTCTTGTCATCCATTTGACATAGTCCAAGTCCACAGAACCCCCAATGTATATTACCTATGTCAAATCCAAAAAATCAAACCAAAGAAATTATGACTTAGACAAATTCAATAAACAAGAAACCAAAGCATCACACATCGATGAAAAGTCTAAACAATTACTTCCTGACCGCGACATTTAACTAGATATGTTTAAGAGAGAAAGCAAGAGCTAGGTAACATGTTCAACAACGCAAGTTGCCTTACTCATTATTCATCAAACGTACAATGATCACCCCACACTTCATCAATTCACAGTTGAATCGATCAAGAAAGACTGTATATATTACCAATTTAAAAATCTGAAAACTCTATGTTAGCTAGAGAACTTGAGGATAAACCAATGAAGCAATTGGTGGGACTTCTCAAACGAGCAAGTCATCAAGAGTACATCATAGACTGTGTACGGTTATATTAAACCTTAACTTAATGTTGAATCCTTACAAAACATAGCTACATGAGAAACTAAACCATCATTGTATTTGCCCAAAAACTAAAGAAACAGAGCACTTACAAACATTGCTAACTGATTATATAACTTCTAATAGTCCAATTATAACTAAAACAAAACAAGAAACAAGAAACAGAGCGCTTACAAATCTAGCAAACTACTTCTTCTATGACCGAAACATCTCCAAAGTTCTCCTTCTTGTGCATCTTCCTCCCTCAATCTAACCCTAGCTCTGCAAATCGGGCAAGTCGAGGCTTTGAGCAACCAAGTGTCCACACACTTCCGATGGAACACGTGTCCGCAACCAGGAAGATTCCGACACCACTGCCCCTGTCTGAACCCATCAAAACAAACCACGCAATCGCTTCCGTACCGTGCGTATGTGGACGTGGGTTCGGAGTATCTGAATTGGGGCAGCTTTTTCACGAATCTTGAAGATAACCCATCTGAGGAATCTTGACGACGGGTACGGCGGCGACGTCGGTGGTGACGGTGGAGAGAAGAGAGAAGGAGAGGGAGAAGAAGAACAGAGGCGATGCCGATAAGGACGAGGAAGATAAAAAAGATCGAAAACATGATTACACCAACAAGGAATAGAGAGAGAATCTTTGTTTTCGGCTTTGGCGGTGGAGGAGACGGTGGCTCGCCGGAGATTCGGTAATCATTGGTCGGAGGCATCGAAAAATACAAAAATAAAAATCTTCTCTTTTTTTTTTTTTACGTTTCCTGACTTCTCTTCTCGTTGTGTTGTTTGGTTTTTTATTTTGGTTTACCAGAAAATAATCAAAAGGAGTCAAGGAACGTATTTGATGTATTTAGAGAAACTGAATCAGAGAGTTTTTGCAAAATTTACGCAAAAATTTGGAATTTTCTTCGTTGAGTAACGTTTTTTTTTGTTAGAACGGTCATGTGATGATGAGATACTTTTGTTTTTTAGGCTTTGGATCATGTGATAAAGAGACTTTGATCGTAAAGTATATGGTTTTGTTGTGTGTGTCTCCATGTCTAGAATTTTAATATTTTGTATGGAACTACTACAAAATATATATAATAATTTAGTAAGTATCTTCTTATCCAATGATTTCTTTAAATATTATCTTGATGGAAAAGCAAATGTTTTTTTATCATCTCATCACACTTTTAAGACTATACACTATACAGTATGAAAAAAAATGGAATATTCGAACTTCTAATTTAAATTTCACAAGTAATATACACAGTGTACTTCAAGACTATACACTATAGAATACTAGCAGTTGATACGCGTTCCGCGCGGGAAGTTTATAATTTTGTTTCTTTGATTTTTTATTCATATCGTGATATTTTATTATTTTTTAATTGATTTTCAAAAAATATTATAATTATTTTCTCTTTAATTATTATCTTTCAATGTTCAAATTTGGATTAAAAGTACTTTATTCAATTTATGAAATATCTTTTTTTTCTTTTTGATCATGTTATAAACTAATATTTTACTTTCATTTTTTTTCCTCTTTATAATTTTATATATACAATTACATAAATGTTGTTTTAGTCTACCATAAATTTAAATTTTACTTCCATTCTAAAACTCAGTAACATATTTAAAATATTAAATTATGATCAATTTAAAATGAAAGTTGAATTGTATTATTACCACTAATAAAAAAAATTAAAGTATTGTTTTTCTTATTTTAACATTTCATTTTCTTACATAATTTATTTTTATTTATATAAACTTTATATTAATTAAATAAGTAACATAAATATGCACTAAATGAATGTTTTAATTTATTTTAATGTTTAAAAAAAAATGTGGCTTAGGTGGATGCTTAGGTGGTATCATGAGAAGAGAGAAAAAGCTAACTTTATATATATAGATACTGTCACTGAATAGTAAATACTGATCACAAGACTTCCTCAGCTAGAAAGTTTAATTATTTGTTTGTCCCGTCCGGTTCGATTCGACTCTTTCTTTCCTTCGGGTTTAAACTTTAAAGTCACTAGATTTGGGCCAATTCTGTTTAGCCCATTAAGCAAAACTACCCCTCCCAACAACATATTGAAATTAGTAGGCATTCCAGTATTCAATTTGGTTTCGGATATTTTGAATATTGGAATTTACAATCTATTCAGGTATTTTAAAATGTTTTTAAAATTTTTAGTGTAGTTTTGGTTCGGTTTAGAATATCCAAAATATTGGAAATATTTTTTAAAATGATTAAATTTAAATAAGATTTGATTAAATTTGACAAAACTACTATTTTGGTTATTTTATAGTTATTTGACAAAATATAATTGATATTTTTGCGTTTACAATTGTAAGTATATATGTTGAAATTTGATATTATAAGTATATATGTTGAAATTTTGGGTATTCATTTGGTTCTCGATTTAGTTTGGCTTCGATACCAATTATTTAAAAAGAAATCAAGGATTCATTCTGATATTTTACCGGTTCCAATTTTGGTTTGATTCTTTTTTGTTGGTTTGGTTTTAGTTTAGATCTTCTGTTTTTTTTTTTTTCTTTGTGGAAACCTTATAAAAATGCATAAAACGCGGGTTTACGTGAGACACGAGAACGAGAGTTTTGTCTCTCTTTGGTAAAGAAGTCAACAAAACAATTTTGTTTTCTTCACAATTCTTATATACATACATAGTGAATTGGTTTGCTTGGTTCCCAATTCACATAGAGCTTTAATAAAACCTCAAACACTCTCTAGTTTCTTGGAATTTTCCCTTGGTAGCTTAAGTCAAATACAACCCTAATAATTTCTCTCTTCCAAACAAAATTTTCAAAAAAGTAAACTTAAAATTTCAAATCGTCTTGGAATTTTCCTTCACATCATCATGATATTCATTCAATTCACTTAAAGAAAAATATAGGTGGAATAAGCAACAAATTGTCCCATATGAAATCAATACAATAAGTAGTGGAAGACTTGACGTATATAGATCAAAGACTTTTCCTTTCATCTATAAGTCTTCAAGTCCAAGTTATATATAAATACTCACTTCCCTTAGCTTCATTATATCACAAACAAGCCAAGAACACATATATAATAAACGAAAATGATAAAAATGGTTGTCAAGTTTGTCGTAGTGGCTATGGTGTTTGCACAAATCTTTTCTCCAATCGCTGAAGCTGCTCAAGGAAGAGCTGTCTATTACAACCCTCCCTACACTAGTGCGTACTATATACAATTTATACATACATATCTTTTTTTGTTTCATAATTTTAGTAAACATAGCATTAGTTTATAAGTTAATGATGGTAGTAATTTAGGGTCGGCTTGTTATGGAACACAACGTGAGACGATGGTGGTTGGAGTCAGAGGCTATATGTACCAAGGAGGTCAAGCTTGTGGTCGGAGGTACAGGGTTCGATGCCTTGGTGCTACATACAACTTCCCTGGAGCATGCACGGGTCGTACCGTAGACGTTAGGGTAGTTGATTTGTGCCGGGAGCCTTGCAACGGTGACCTTAACCTCTCTCGTGACGCTTTTCGTGTTATCGCTAATACTAATGCCGGGAACATCCGCGTCGAGTACACACCGTAAGTTTCATTTTATAAACTTTTCATCTTATTTTTTTAAAAAAAAACATTGTCCGTAGAATTTAAACCTGAAATATTTTTTAATATGATTAGTAACAGTTTAGGTTATTTTTTTTCTTCTGTAGGATATGAAGTTGATATTACACTATAAGCAACAAAGAAAAGGTGAGAGGTGATGATTCGATGGTATGGTACTAGCTATTCCAATAAATTGAATGTGGAACCTTAACTGAATTATATGTATGGATTGTCCTTTGTGATGAGAACCTATTAGTCAAATTAATAAAGAATGAATCTCAAACTTATTTCATAAATTGTCTATATTCAATAACACTTATTTGATTCACATAATTAAAATAGATGTGACAGTTAGGGGTTGCAATAACTTTGATGCGTCCGACCGACACCAACACAACAGTATCCTTGATCCAATCCAAAAAAGTGAGATTTTATCGGTTTTCTTTCTTAACCGGTCAACTTCAACAAAAATTACCATAAAACTAAAAACTGATTATGTAAACAAAAAATTACATTTTACGGATTTGTTATTTTTAATTAGGTGTACTGTTCCACTAAGCATAGTATAAATTTAAAAAATGCCTCGAGTTATATAACAAAGACAACGCATAGAAAACCTTCTTCCATGTCGGCTTCCTGTTCCTCTTCCTCGTGTTTCTCTTTTCTCAACATAGAATGTTTAGTTTACTGTCTATAATTATGAAATCAGATATACTAATTAGTTATTTATTTTTCTTATAAACATTATACGTTTCATGCTGTATAAAACAACGGCATGCCCACAGCCCACTTGGTCCCAAAACTAACCTATACTCAAATGACTATCTATAATAAAAGACACCCATATTTTGAGGGCTCAAATATGACCAAGAAAATTAAGACAATCACTCAATCACTAATATGAGTCACGTAAATATTTTGATAGTTTATGTAAACTCGCATGGCTAGTCCAAATAAACCAAAACGTATAGAAGCTATTTCGTAAGGATGACCGGAACGTCAAAACCGCAAACTCCATGATCAGTCTTGACAAGGCAATAAAGTAGTTAAATAAACATTCCAACTCCTAACGAAGAAGAATGGTGCAGCCATAATTTTCACTAATCAGTTTAGTTAAAATGTTTAGCCTGGAGTCTTCTTAGTCTAGTGGTTTGCAATCTTAATGATACTTTGAATTTGAAACTGAGAATGTTATACATTACAACATAAATTTGTCAGAAAAATGTTTTTTCTTATGGATTGTACAATTATATCGTTTGTCTGGTTGGCTTTAACATGCATATGGAAAGGCTCTGGTGGGTTTGGTTATACAACCGTAAGATAATATTATTCATGAAAAAAAAGTAATATTTTTGTATGAGTTCTTTTTTATTTAAAGAAATGTTTCGTTGACTTTGCATTTTTTTAGGTAATTAAATACTAAGATCCAAATCACATTAATTTCATAATTTTAAAAAATCATTTCAAACACTCTTTTGTGAAAGAAAATTTATAAAATTGCAATAAATTTTGCTCATCTGTCACCATCAATGGTCCAACCTGTAATTCTCTTAATCATCACTCTGTCTCATAAATTTCAAAAAAACTTTGAGCTCAATTTTTTTTTATTTCAAGATAAACCAAAATTTCACAAGTTTAAAATAGAGGATGCATTAATAACTCTGTTTTAAATCATTCTTTCTTTCTTGAGAAAACATGAATATCATCATCTCTCCTTCATCATCACCACCACCATTGTTACCTCTCAAATCAAACACAAGCTTCGATTTAAACAGCAAGATCACTCCAAACATTCTCCTAATAATCATAATCCTCTCCATCATCTTCTTCATCTCTGGTCTTCTCCACATCCTTGTCAAGTTCCTCCTCACACCATCAACACAAAACAGAGAAGATTACTTCGACAACGTTACAGCTCTTCAAGGCCAGCTTCAGCAACTCTTTAGCCTCCATGATTCTGGCGTTGACCAGTCTTTAATCGACACGTTACCTGTTTTTCAATACAAATCCATCATGGGTCTCAAAATCTCTCCTTTTGATTGTCCTGTTTGTCTCTGTGAGTTCGAAACAGAGGACAAACTTAGACTCTTGCCTGAATGTAGCCATGCTTTTCACGTTGACTGTATCGATACGTGGCTTCTCTCTCACTCGACTTGTCCCTTGTGTAGATCTAACCTCCTGTCTGGTTTCTCATCTCATCACAACCCAAGCTCCTCGTATTTACTTGTTCTTGAGAGTGGACAAAGCTCGAGAGACATGGTTCCTGTTCTTGATTCCAATTCTTGTTTAGGTTTTGATGGGAACAATGATTTTGGGTCGACCCGGGTTAGGTCGGGTCGTAAATCATGCGACCCGGATGTTGAATTGGGTGGTTTGGATGGAAAGGTTGTTCCTTTACAAGTTAAGCTAGGGAAGTTTAGGAACATAGATCATGTTGGTGAAGGAAGTAACAATAACAATAATAGCATAAGTGGTAGTAGCAATTTAGATGGAAGAAGGTGTTTCTCAATGGGCTCATATGAGTATATTATGGACCAAGAAGCTACACTTAAGGTTCACGTCTCGGTCAAGAAACTATCCGGAAAAGATTGTCGCTTGCCCGGGCACAGGGCCGCTATGTCTGAATGCGGTTTTGATCCAACGGTTAAGGGAATCGAGAAGAGTGTTGTGGAAAGAGAAAGCTTTTCTTTGTCAAAAATTTGGCTAAGGGGTAAAAAGGAGAAGCAAATAGGTACTAGTGCTAAAGATCAGGATTGTTCTTCGGTGTCTTCCTCTTCAATCCGATTTCCAAACAAAATGATACCTTTAGAGATCGATGAAGAGAATCAAAAGAGCGAAAATTCGGAATCTTTAGAGATGAAAACGCCATCTTTTGCTAGGAGGACCATGCTTTGGCTTGCAGGGAGACAAACCAAGGCTGTTCATCCTTCTACATCCCATGTTTAGGTTTTTCTTGTATAAAGTTTTGTTCTTTCTTCACAATTGTGTTTTTTCTTACTTCTTAGGCACATTGAAAACTTGGTGGCTTTTATCAGAGATTCAGAGTCTTGTTTAATTAATGTAGGTTATGACATTTTCCATTAATTCAAGAAAATAATTGTGAAGGTGAGGTTCATGACTTCGTTTCATAATTATATCTACATGAAATGTTTCGAAATTGAATAACACACTTATACTTTCGTTGGTTTGCAAAGATTCACTTACTCTACAAGATTCAATAAGAATCTAAATAAAAGTGTTTCCACCATTCTCATTCTCCTATAAAAGTAATGAATTTTGTAAACCTGGAAAACTCTTAGCACTTTTATTAATCTTATAATACAACAGTCAAATACTTAACTTGGAACTGAAGGTCTCAGCAAGATTCAAGAAAAGCTTCAAGAGCACTTAGCAAGCTTTATATTAAGTTGGTGATCTGAACTAACCGCGGCGATCGAATGCTTCACCGTGTAGATACCAGTTTGTGTATGAGCTTAGAAAACCATAACACATCAAATCACCTTCAATGTCATCTCTAAACTTATACTTGACAAGGCAGCAACGTTGACAAGGACATCTCAGCTTTTCTGTCTTAAGTTTACCAAAGGCAAAATCCAAAAACTCCTTGACTCCGTTTATGTAATCTTGAGACAATCGATATTTTGTTATCCATGACTTATCCATATCCACGAGTCAATGACCACTTCTCTGAAAATGTTTCACAGATTCAAGTTTATTATATGTTACATCTTATAATATGCTAAAAAGAAAAAACATGAATCACTTAGTTCCATGAATTAACAATACAAAGCTAGATAATATAGTATCAAACCAAGCAAGGCATCAACAAATGTATAAACAGATGGCTAGATACTATAATCTCACACGAACAACCAAAATTTCCAAGGCATAATTAAGCTAGTGAAGAATAGATTCATTACCTGATCGAAAACAGAGTTAGAGATTCGAGTCTCCTCCGTCACGATACTCTCTTCACTTCACCACCAAAAACTCATCTGAACCTTATAAATTTTTAGGTTAGAATTTAATAAAGCTGCATGTACCAGTCTCTCCTATAATATAGCATTTTAATTAGGTTTCTCCTATACTTTCTGTTTCTATCCAATTCCGCTTATATGATTTATATTCTACCCAATTCCAAACTAAATAATTCTACCAAATTCACGAAAAACCAATTAAGCTTCCCAATTCAATTGCGTTTTAAAATCAATAATTCGCGTGATGACTTATAATTGAATGTTTTTCATTGTTGAGATTGAATTCTGTCCTACTATATATCATAAATTAACCGAAGGGACCGAAACAATAATATGTCAATATGACCAGATTACACGAAGTGACTTGCATTCGTTGACTTTGTTTCATAAAAGAAATAGGCAACATGCAAATTATTATAATACTAACAGGTTCAACGTTACGGGTTAAGACGTACCATCCATCGAACGTTACACCATGCGTCGATCGTGTTGATATCTAATCAAATGTCATAATAACTCCATATTGAAACTTGAGAAAACGATAAACAAATTATAAAAAAAACAAAACCCACCTCACATGGAAACAAAAGCCAAAACGTGAAATGTTGATGAAAACTAGGGAGAGGTTGTCATGTTTCTCTCCACTAGCCTCATCCAAATCCCGGTTTGATTTTTAGTTTTTACGTATGGTTTGTAAAAAGGCCATTAAGAAACAAGTATTATTCACTAATTCATATAATGGTTTGCTTATACACTATTAATTACTTCACTCCTAACTCCTAAACCAACCTCAAATTTAATTTTACTTACGAACAACGATACCACGACGTGCCTTAATGTCGTTGACCTTTTGTAGAGATGAAGAATCAAAACAGACCAAAAAAAAAAGTTATTATAAAGAAGAAGAATCACATATCAATCAAATCATCGTTTTCTTGATAAAAATGGAAGCTCAAAGCATTTTTCTCTATCTTCTACTCTTCTTTCTATCTCTACACTTTGTGTTTACAACTCTAAAACGACGGCTAAGTCCCGCAAACATACGGTGGCTGATTCGTCTCCTCCACCTCCCGATCAAATCTTCTGTATCCACCGCTGTTCTTGCCAGAAAAAACGTCAGTGAGTTTCTTGATTCGTCAATCAAACAAGAAAACAAAGAAGAAGAAGCCGATTTCGATTTCAGAACGTATATGATCAGCAAAGCAGAGACCATAAACAGAGCATTAGACGAAGCCATTCCACTCATTGAGCCACTTAACATCCACAAGGCAATGCGTTACGCCGTTCTTGCAGGCGGCAAACGCGTCAGGCCAATACTTTGCCTCGCGGCTTGCGAGCTAGTCTGCGGGGAGGAGCGTTTAGCGATTCAAGCGGCTTGTGCGGTTGAGATGATTCACACAATGTCACTCATCAAAGATGATCTTCCTTGTATGGACAATGACGATCTCCGAAGAGGTAAACCAACTACACACAAAGTCTTTGGAGAAAGCGTGGCTATTCTCTCAGGCGGCGCGCTTTTAGCCCTAGCTTTCGAGCATTTGACGGAAGCTAACGTGTCATCCAAGAAAATGGTTAGGGCTGTTAAGGAATTGGCTAGGTCTATCGGAACTAAAGGACTCGTGGCGGGACAAGCTATGGATTTGAGTAGTGAAGGGTTAGATCAAAACGAAGTTGGTTTAAAGGATCTTGAGTTTATTCACGTTCATAAAACCGGTTCGTTGCTCGAAGCGTCGGCGGTTATCGGAGCGGTTATTGGTGGTGGTTCGGAGGAGGAGATAGAGAGAGTGAGAAGCTTTGCGAGGTGTATTGGACTGTTGTTTCAGGTGGTTGATGATATTTTGGATGAGACTAAGTCGTCGGAGGAGTTAGGGAAAACCGCCGGAAAAGATCAGATCGTCGGTAAGCTGACGTATCCGAAAGTGATTGGTCTAGAGAAGTCGAAGGAGTTTGTGAAGAAGTTGAAGAGAGATGCGAGAGAACATCTTCAAGGGTTTGATTCGGACAAAGTGAAACCTTTGATTGCTCTTACTAACTTCATTGCCAACAGAAACAACTGATTTTGTTGTTTTGCTGTTTTGCTAAAACACTAACGTGAAGATGTTATAATGAAATCACAATATTTAGTAAACGGTAAGGTATGAATCTGCACATTTGTTTTTTTAAATTATATTTAAAATATGGGTGATAGTGAAATACATGGGTAATGTCTATATTCATATTGAACACAGTTCTATATTGAGCAATAGAATTTTTACAATATATCTAAACAAATTCTTTTTTTTCTGCAATTACTCTAACATTCTACTATTGTATTTTTGTTTAGCAAATGTGTTATTTCACTATTATATAATAATCTTCTGTGAAAAAATAAAAATTAGACTACATATAATAATATCATAAAAGTATATTGAATAAAATATTTACTATATGTTTTAATATTTACCATATCAAATCAAATTTGAGTTGAAATTTTGAAGTGTTTTTTTCGGAAAAATGAATTGTTTCTTCACTCCTTTCATAAAGATAAATATCAAATGTTTAAATTTATGTGCACAAATTGATTTATTGTTAAAATTAAATCTAATATAACCTTGTTTTGTGCACATATTAAGATACTTAATTTGTATTAAATTAATTTGACCTTATTTTATGATTAAAGTATAAATTACATGTTTTTGAATTTAATTATAACTAATAAGGAAACAAACAAATGTTCCTCAAAATCTTGCATTGGAAATAAAAAACATATATAGTTATGAAATTTATATTTGAAAAAAATATTCATCCATTTCAACTCATTGTGATATGGAGGAAACATAACAAAATTTAGGATTTCAATCGATGTTATTGACAAAGCAAACTAAGCAAACTAGACTACTCTATTTCTCGGGACGGGTAATATATAATCCGTTGTGGATCAATTTTTTTTGTAAAGTAAAAACGCGTTCGAAGTTTAAATTACTATAGTTTATGAATGATAAAAAAAAAAAAAAAAAAAGGTAGAGTTCAATGGTGTAACACACATCACATATCATATCATCATCTAGTACATTCTTTAATGAAATCTCATTATTTGTTGAAGTCGGAATAAGTCCGAAACAACTCCCTACCATAGTTCTATGTACTCCAATAGAATTAAACTAGGTGAAAAGGTGACTGATCTTTTGATTAATCAGTCAACGTTGATCATGACCAACTATCACATCGACCAAACGATTCCATTGACTTTTTAATCAGTTATGACTTCAATGTATTTGCATCATAAAGGTATCCTTGTAAGAGACATCCCTCCCTCCTCTAAACAACAACTCTTCACGTCTCCCTAATTTTTAATTAACACTGATTGATATGATTCTTTTAAGGATCCACTTCAGCTTAGTAAGCTTTGACTTAAAACCACAGAGACATTCATTTATAAACATACAAGACTGATTAATATTTTTAAAGGAAAGCCAAAATAAATGGCATAGAACCTTACAAGTATCTCTCTTTAAGTTAATGTATTGAGCAAAGGTGTTACCTCAAGGCAACTAAATAACATCAAGATAATCCTTAGCCTTTCATGATACTTGTGCTAAAGAAAACAAACCAACAATCTTCAAAGCCAAACATGAATCCGAATCCGCCTTCTCACGACAACATCTCCGTCCTGATCATCAATTGAATCATAACCATTCATAAATCATAATGATGAATCTTAAGGCAACTCACAGTTCTAACGCTAAACATATTGCATCAGTTAAGTTTTCTACCTATGGAGCTAGCTATAGAGATCTTACCAGGTAGCTTCTTCACTCGTAGAACCAGTAGGGTATCGGATAATCCTCTGCAGAATCACGGTTCTTGCCTTTGTCACATCGCTACAATACTTATCCGCATGTTTCCCAAGTTCTTCAATGGTGTCAGTAAACACATCGAGCTTCTTCTTGATCTCATCTATCGCGATCCTCACCACTTTCTCCTCTGTGACAGCAAACTCAGCTTTCTTCAACAAAGATTCAATCTCTACTTCCACTTTACGCACAAGGATACTTATATTATCCATCTCCTTAACCGATATGTAAGTCCCGATTCTAATCGATGTAATGATCTCCTTCTGCCCTCTAACCACTTTCTCATATTTTGTCCACAGAGTGTTGCACCATTTCCCAACAGACCCCACTGGAACAGCTAATGCACCAGCAATAGCTGCCACAACAGGTGGAGCAGCCACAGCGGCTGCAACTACCGAGAAGATAAGCACAGAAACAAACGCAGTCACAAACACCATGTTCGATACTCTTCGCCATGTTTTGATATTCCCAAGTCTCTTATCAAGTTTTCTCTTTAGCTTATGAAGCTCCTCAAGCATCAAGACCTGTTTTTTGTATACCAAATCGAACAGAGCAAAGAACCTTTTCGTGAACGGCTCACCCAAATCTGTAAACTTCTTAAGCTCCTCAAGTGTCTTCTCATACTTCCTGTTCTCGTTATCCCCATTAACCGGTATCTCGGACTCTTCCTCAAACTGCTTAACAGCAAACTGAATAACCACTTGGCTCCTCCTCGCGCGGTTAAGACAATTCTCAAGCTCAGAACAGAAATCCATAGTCTTTAAAGTGCTTTCAAAATACAAATTCACAAGAGAGAACAAATCATGATTGTTCCATATATCCTCTTTGTCCTGCAATATAACTTTGACCACATCTTGATTCATATCTAAAAGACATTGCGTCACTTCTCTAAGCGAATCAAACGACAAAGACTTAATCTCAACTCCAGAAGCAAGCTTGTTGATGACTCGATTAGTCCGTTCATGAAGCGCAGAGTCAAAAGACTCAAGCTTTGGATCTTCACTACAAGCTCTTTCGTAAGAGCTCAAATGCTCAGTGTACTCTGAGTTTATCTTGATCTGTACAGGCGTCGACGGTGAACCAAACTCAACATCTTTCTTGTGTTTGCTACTTTTCCCTCCCATCATTATCTTATTAATGAACGAAATTGCTTAAATTTTGTGAACCTAATCAGACAGTAAAGAACTAGAAATTAGAAAACCAAACCTATCTTGAGCTTTGTAAGAACACGAGAGAGACCAAGAAACAGAGATATGGGATAAAAATCGAAATGGGTAATTGATTTAATAGCTAAAAGCAACAAACTTTAGCCGAATCTTACGGAGCAATCTAAAATTTCTGTAACCGACATTAGAGAAAACTTAAAGGGCAAGAGTAAAGTAGTAAAAAATCTCAAAGAATCTGTAATGAATAAAGTGAAACAGAGATTTCAAGGTCATGAGTTAGTAGTAAGTAGTAGTTACCTGGAAATTGCAATTGAACTCTTTGAAACAGACAAGACCTGAGATAAAGAAAGGTGGTATTTTTATAGAAGGTGAAGAGTGTTTTTGGTTTAGGGTTGGGTTTGAGTTTGTGGAAGAAGAAGAAGTAGCTTGTACGCTTGGAGAAGCTTGGAAGAGAAAGAGAAAGAGAAAATGCGGGGAATGTTACGGACTTTGTTTTTAAGGTAAAAGGAGAGATCTGAGGAGAAAGAACATTTCTCACGCGGTTTTTTTATGAACACAGTGTGAGAAAAGTCTTGCTCTTTTCCACTACTCTCGATTTGGTTTTGACGGACTCATCAATGGCACAAGGAAGACATGAAAGAAAGAACCAGGAAGAACCAGAACCAAGAGAAAAGAAAAAGTTATCTCTTTTTGATTTTTTTGTTTTGTTTTCTCTTGTCTGAACAAAACACAAATATAATTAATTTAGTCGTCGAGGCTTTGAAAAAATTTGGAGTTTTTATTCATCTAGAATAAAAGAGTATACTTAATTAGTAGAATGATTTTTTTTTTTGTATAAAACTAGCAAGTAAATACCAAAAGTTATATGAGTATAAAGATTGCAAAAAACAAAAACTATTCATACTAAATAACACATAAATCAAATTGAAGTTCAATTCTATGAATTCTATTATTGGTTCTAATGAGTAGTACCAATTTAAGTATTTAAAGGTTGATTTTAAAAAAAATGAGAAACAGAAAGAATTATTCAAGTCGTTCCTATGTGACACATATTACCAAAAATAATATTCCAACGTTATAAAAATAACATACATGTAGAGGATCTTGTGTTGAAATTTTCAAAATGTTTCAATTTTCGTTAGAATCATTCTTTTGTAATCATGTATATGACAACTAAGTGCAAGTGATTTATAAATTGTTGAATTCTCAAATAATATATCCAGCTCTCTCACGTTTTCCTCTCTTGACACATAAGAAAATACTAATACTTTATAATAAAAAAAACATCATTGTCTAAAACTTTAATTGAATATTGAATACCAACAACTATCCAATACGACACACACGATTCAGATACCATTATGTGACTTTGGACCACATCCAAAAAAAAGAGATATTCTAAACTAATCAAACACGATCCAAAAATATATCTCACAAGTAGGCATGTCAATCGGGCTATCCCGGCCCGGCCCGGCCCAAAACCCGTAAAACCCTCATATATTTGAGTCCGGCCCGGCCCGGCCCAAAAAATATTCGGGCCTATATTTCAAAGCCCGGCCCGGTCCTAACAGGGCTACAGGGCTTTTCGGGTTTTTTTGGGATTTAGCTAACGATAAAAAATCAACTTCTACGTTCATAATAGTTTTTGAAAAACAATATTTAAAAGTATACTATAAAAATAATGTATCAAAATTTAAATAACTTATCAATATTCATTAAAACTAACTTAATTTAAGAGAAAAATTAAAGACTAAATAAATTATTTACACTTTAACCCAATAAAACATGGAACTAAAATACTTTAAAGTAGATGATAGAGTCAATATCTATATATAATTTTAGCTTTGTTCAGTTTTGACATATATAAATAATAGAAAATATGATAGATAATGAGTTTAAAAGTATTAAGTAAGGCTAGTAAGTAAATATGAAAAATTAATTCATTAATCAAATCTTCTATTCAAACTACAATATTTACAAAAAAAAATATATATATTTATTTAAGGGCTTTTCGGGCCAGCCCGAGCCCGACCGGGTTAAGCCCAAAAAACCCTTTAGCCCGAATGGGCTTATCCCGAAAGGCCCGGTTTTTTCTGAACATATATATTTAAGCCCGAGCCCGATGTTTTTTAGGGCCGGGCCGGACTAGCCCGCGGGCTTTAACCCTAATTGACATGTATACTCACAAGTCACAACACACACATCATCCATTTTCTTGCCTTCAATTCAAGATCTAACACAAAAAATATGAAATCGATCTTTATAACCAGCAAAAAGCCAAGAAAGGTTTTACTACAGAATCTATAGTTTCTTAAACCCTTGTGTAAGACAATCATGTCCTAAATCTATATATTTCTTCACCCCGGAATCTCAGCGCTTGCAAGTTGCAAATAATATAAATTTTCTTGTCATGTAAATCATTTATATAGTGTTTTCAAAATTTTAATCGAAAAGTATGAATCACACATCAACAATGTATATCGTCAAAGTTGAGTTTTCATGTATTTTGCCAACACGAACATCTCAATTTTACTTGCAAATATCACCGAACATCTTAGGCATAAAGATGGTACTTAGGTTAACATTATACTACAACACAACAATAATAAAAGCATAATTAAAGCTAGACAACAACATCTAAACATATGTTTAGCTCATGCATCAGAGTCCTCTACGCTGAAGCGTCTATGGTACGGTCCCCATATCCACCTTCACGAATGTATCCATATACGCTTTCCTGTAAAAATAAAATAGCCAGTTTCAACAATATAAATAAACAGTTTTGTCGCCTCTTTGCTAGAATATGCAACTGGATATATATAGTAAGCTTTTGTTGAGACAATATAGGAGAACAAACATGACATTGTTGTAGTGAGTATACCTTGCTGGAAGATGGTCGTGTGGACGATTGTAAGGAGTCCACACTGGTCCACCCACGAAAAGCCGCATTGCCTGTTCAATAAGTAATTCCAAATTTCCTAATTAAGCAACCAAAAACATATGATGAATTTACTAACTAAGATCAAGATAAATCGCTTATTATAAGATTAAACCTTCATATAGTTGTTTGAGTCCACGGTGAAGCGATGATATATTCCAGCAGGGAAGACTATCATACCTCCCCTCTTTACCCATACTCTAATCCAAACATCGTTGAGATCTCTCACATCAAAGTATCCTTTTAAGTTTTCCAAGAAAAATTAAAGAACATGAGTACTATATTTAGATCGACCTGATTCAAGTAAAGCAATCAATGAAAATTCTAAAGTACTTACCACTTCCTGCGAGGCAGTAACGGATCTCTTCATCAATGTGTAAATGTTCTTCAAAAAACATTTTTACTTTTGCTTCATAGTTTGGAAGCTTCTCCGGACATACCTCACAAATGTCCTAAAAACCAAACATGTCTCTCCCGTCAAACCAAGACGTGTGAACACATCTAACAAACAAACGAAGATGTAAAAAGCCATCAAATAAAAAGGTTACACAAACCATGTAGGAGTAACCACGAGATTCGCGGATATATTTCAACTCCTCATCGGTTTCATAGTTATCAGCATCAAGTCTCCAGCTAAGTACTCCAAGCTCTGCACCCAAAAAAAACATTATATTACCGTATGCAAAAGAAACAATACAATGTATGTAACAATGAAGAGTCGAAGACACACACACACAGACCTGCAAGTTTGTCCAAAGATACAAACTCTTTAGGATTCTTGTGGTGAGGAAGCTTCTGACCATCTTCGTAGTTATCATCCAAGTACCAAGCTTGAATCACTTCTTCTCTTTGATAATCCTAGTTAAGCACACACACACACACACACACACACAACATGTGAAACTAGAGAACATCAAACTAATGCTAAGCAAAAACACATCAAAATGGGAATAGACACAATGAGAAGGAAAAGTTTTTGTTACCTTAACAGCTTCACCCATGGTTATATTATTTCCTCTTTTGTATCTTGAAGAATCAAGAAAGAGTGATATGATTTATATAGACAAAAAAAGGAAACCGCTGTAATTTTTTTCCTGTGTGCAAAAAAAGGTAAGAGTAAAAAAACAAACACACAAAACCACTCTTTCACTTCTCAGGACACCTATATCGAGATGACAATGACGCCACGAAGCTTCAAGGAGATGACGAAGAAGGAGATGACATCACCAAGTTGCACTGTTTAATAAGATATCTAATAAAAGGTAAAATTGTAAAAACGAGAAAAATGCATTATTCTTTGCTCAACTTGTTCATCACTTTGCCACTCTACTTTCACATTTTCTTGTTATTTTATACAATGGTCGCACGAAATTGCAATCAAGTTGCCGACGAATTGGCTTAGTTAGCACATGCATGAACATCAAGTTGTTTCTCAAACTTGCTTTTCTAGTCTTCAATTCGTCTTTGTTTATGTTTTTGGTGAAACTCGTCTTTGTTTAATTAAGTAGTCTTAATTTAGTACTATATATACATTATATTCTAATTAGTAAAAAGAATAGTCTCAACTCTCAACAACCCTTAATAAAGAATTTTGTTCGTCTTTAGTTCTTATAACAGCTATGATCAGGGACCCAAAAAGAAAACTGCTATAAGCTCTAAAAATTATAATATTATAAAAATATCAATATACATAGACATATAATTTTCAATTTTTTCGTATATATATAACATATATTCAACATATGTAAAACTAATTTTCAATTTTTTCGTATATATATAACATATATGAATTATTTTTCATTTTCAGCTCATTTTACAACATAATATAATATATGAAAATTTTCATAAATGACAGTAATTTTTTTTTTTTTGCAAGTATACCATTATTAGCTTTATTTTTCAAAAATATCATTAAAATATAGGTTGAACAAAAAAAAATTATTACAATATATAATTCCCAAAAATACCACATAACTAAAACTAAATTTTAATATTTTAAAGCTAAGCTCTAAAGGTTAAATTCAAATACTAAACCCTACCTCCTAAAAACTATACCTTATATTTAAAATATTCAATCCAAACTCAAAAAAATAAATATCTACATCTTTAAACATTAATATTTCTGTTTCTGGTATTTATTTTTTAAAAATATTTTGTTTTCTAGAAAAATAAATTGAACTGTGGTATTTAAGAAAATTCTCTTTTTTATTTCTAACAAAAATAAAAGAAAATTCTCTTTACAAAATCTGAAGAAAATAATAAAAACCTAAATCAGTCGATACATATCTCTTTGGATTCGAAACGGTGGACGCGTAGGTCAAAAAGGCCCATTTAATTTCGCTAGGCCCAATAGGTTGATCCAATACTTCTTCATATAAATTTCAAAAAGGGGTTTCTGATTTTAGTTCCGAATCAGCGTACAGAGAAAGCTACGTTCGCTCTCTCCTCGTCGAAGCTTACCAGAACCCAATCACCAGAGAAGAAGACGAGAGATTCCATCGTCGTCGTTGTGATCTCGATCTTCGTTTCGATCAAACGTAACCTCTTCATTCTCTTCTTTCACTTTGGTTTTCTTAGGGTTTTTGTGTATTCGATTGATTGATACAATCTGGTTCTGTAGAATCACCGATCGTTTCGTAAATTCTTTGTTATCGGAAGATTCGTGATTGTTTGATAAGAAATTGAAAATAATTTTGATCTCTCTGTGTGAAATTTCGTTAGGGTTAGAGTGATGATGATTGTTCTGCTTCGAATGATGTTTTATGATTCATGAATTTGAGTGATTGTTCTGTTTCAGATTTTTTTCCCTGGAGAATATAACATGTAAATCTTGATATTGATATATCAATGTGTGATTAATGTTTGTGATCATGTGATATTCATTGATTTGTGATGTAGAAGAACCCTAATTGAGTCCATTGTTTTGTTGTTCATTGATTTTTGTGATGTAGAAGAACAATGATTGGGTTATTCAAAGTGAAAGAAAAGCAAAAGGAAGAGTCTCAGAATACCAATAGAAGAGGAGCTTCTTCTGTCAAGAAGCAATCTGCTGGTGAACTTCGTCTTCATAAAGGTTTCTCTATCTCTTCTCTTCTCTCAATTTTGGTTTTGATCTTGTTCTGTTTCTGACTTTGGAACAGACTGCAAAAAACTGTGTACTTTTTGGGACTATAAAAGCATCTAGTTGGTTTAACTGATGATCATCTCTCTTGTGTGTATCAATTGTTTTATTTGTGCATAGATATATCAGAGCTGAACTTGCCAAAGTCTTGTAAGATATCTTTTCCGAACGGAAAGAATGACTTGATGAACTTTGAAGTAACCATCAAACCTGATGAAGGATATTACGTGTAAGTGTACATGATTCTTCCTCATTTCTTTTGTCTTTGGGGCCATTGAATTTGGTTCAAAACAAACATATTCCTTCTTGTTTTGTCGAAAAATAGGAATGGTAAATTTGTGTTCACATTCCTAGTCTCTAATGTGTATCCACACGAAGCTCCCAAAGTGAAATGCAAGACCAAGGTTTGGCTTTCTCCAATCTCTGAAACGTTTTATCTTTCTGATACTGTTTATGAAGAATGCTGAAGATAAGTCATTGTTGTAGGTGTATCATCCGAATATCGATTTAGAAGGAAACGTCTGTCTGAACATTTTGCGCGAAGACTGGAAACCGGTTCTCAACATAAACACAGTTATCTATGGTCTTTTCCATCTCTTCACGGTAAAAAATCTCCCTGACTGGATGATACTCCATTGATGTCATATTTTTTTGGACTTGTAATCTGAAGTTTGTTTGTTTTCACATAGGAACCCAATTACGAGGATCCTCTGAATCACGAGGCAGCAGAAGTTTTAAGGGATAACCCGAGGACATTCGAAAGTAATGTCAGGAGGGCAATGATGGGTGGCCAAGTTGGCCAAACTTCATTTGCTCGCTGCATTTAGTAGGTAGGACTCTGGTCCAGGTTCCTTAGCCATCTTCTTCTTCTAAAGTAACTTCTCCTGGTTTACTCTTGTACATTGGAGACCAAAGTGATTTTAGGAATTTTCTGAATTGCTTTAAATATTCATTCATTCAACTGATCAACTCTTTATCATATCATAACCAAAATAATAGTATGAATATCAGAACTGAAAGTAACAAAAGTATTTATGATATAGCATTATCAAAAAAAAAATTACATATTGTTCAGTTAAATACATAACCTATTTTTTTTTCTTCTTGCTCATATAAAATGCACATTATAAAACTTAACAAGTATTATATTCTGTATGTTAACAATGTATTAATTCGGAAAAAGGTTTTGATAATATTGATAAATTTTGTTTTAATTATTATATAAAAATCATCAAAATTACTGAAACAAAAACAATTATGATGATTATAACATCAAATCTCATACCATCTCTACTTCCCTTGAACTCGGAGTTCTATCGATTTTTCTGTCTTTCCGGAAGAGAAAATGTAACGGTGTGTAACAAAGACAACACAATCCAAAGGGTAGAGCCATCATCCACATGATTCCTTTCGCCAACGCCTCAGCCTCACGACCAGAGTCTTTAACATTATCTATTCCTTTTGTGTCAAACCCGAAAAGTTTTTCCGACATGACGCCAACCAAAGGCGCACCAAACGACGAGAAAGACACTTCGAGTGCACGATCAAATGCGTAGACCATTGTTCTATGCTTAGCAGGAACAATCTCCGCTAAGATAGGAGAGTTAATGGCTGGTCCGCACCAAGTTATGGTTAGACCCATTATAAAGAGAGTGACCAAGAAGATGTAGTAACTGTGAACGGTCTGTGGGATCATTCTTAGAAGAACAAAGGAGAATATAGCTCCCATTAAAACGCTGAACTGTGCGCATATCAATCTCCCCGAGTTTGGAAACACACGAGACATCTTGTCTGCTATTATTCCCCCTAGCAAAGATCCTATTGCTTGTCCGGTGGCAAATACTCCGTTTAGGAGAGCCGCCTGGTCATGATCAAAACCTGGAAAGACAAAAACGTTGAGGAGTCAGAGCATTTGTTTAGGTTAAGATCATATGTTTAATGTTTTATTGGAATGTTTTAGTTCGAATATGAGAGAGGATGCAATGCATACCAATGAGTTCGAACCACATTGTCCAGAAAACCATAGCATTCCATGGCACCGAGCCCACAATTCCTTGCAATACGATGACCTGAAATGTTCGTAACTTGGCTACATCTTTTATGGCCACCCATGATTCCTTCCAAACCGAAGAGCTTGGAGGAGTCTCCATCGGTGTTGGTGTTGCACCATTGTCTCCATCTCTACAAAACCACATGATTAACTCAAAAAACTAATAATGACAATAAAGCCAAAACACATATAATACAATCAAGATTTCAAGAATGTAAATATATATATTACCGCTCATGTTGATCATCTTGATGAGAAGTGACGCTGCTAATCTTCTTTTCCCTCGGGTCAGTGACGAAGAAGAAAACGAGAACACCGATCATTGAACTCAGCGTTGCACTCAATAGAAAGGCGCATCGCCATCCTGATATCCCAAAAAACTCATGACCAGCCATGACCGTTGGCACGACTGTTCCCCCTATACCTCCAACGGTACCAATGAGATTCCATAAACCAAAACCAAAACCTCTCGAACTCTCCTTAAAGCTATCCGCAATTATCGACTGAAGCACTGGGTAAACTATGGCATGTCCAACACCGTTGCATGCTACACCAAGGGTGACCTAGTCCAAAACATGAATATCAAACAATACATGTTTTCAGGTTGTGTTTGAGGCCAACAATAAAAATGGACCAATAATTGATTTTCTTTGACAAACTTTCGTTAAAAAAATAAAAAAATATATACAAGATGTTAGATAGACAAAAAGATAAAAATTATGTATATTTTCACTTTACTTATTTTTTTTCCCAAGAACCTAGTCCTCTGAACCAAAACAGTAGTTTGGAACTTCCAAATGATTTGTCATAGTAATAAAAGTCACTTTGTTTTTTAATTATTTTTTTTAATATAATGAATAATTTAAAGCCAATTAAATTGCTGTGATATATAAAGTTGACACAATTATCACACCTATATATAGGGTTTTATATATCTTCACTGTGTTTCCCTTCATTTTATGTTTATGTTACAAACAATGACTTAGTTATATTTTTAAAAGAAAAAACATTTTTACTAGAACTTAAAAAAAGTTTTATAAAAAAGAAAAGTCAATTTAATTTTCTTTTCTGTGACTTTATTATAGTTAAAGAGAGTTATACTTTTTGTCTGAACTTTCATTTATTTTTTTATTTGACAGATTGATATATTTCTTTATTTTTGTGATATTTTGTAAATGAAAAATAGCATACCATATATATTATATCATTTTTGGGGGATTTTACGAATCTAGACACGAATGCAAATATTATTTCCCATATTTGTATGAACTTTGGTGCATAAGTTTAGATTGTATAATTAATAGAAGAGAGCATAAACTTAGTTTGTTAGTATGAAATCTCCACATTACTATACATAAAAGGAATAAAACCTGGGTGAAGTAGCGGCTGACTCCAGTTGCAACAGTTGATGAGACCCAAAAGAAACTTCCGAATGCAAAAACTGTGGGACGATCATAGCTAACGGCAAACAAACCGGCCAAAGGAGATGCAACTCCTTGAACAATGTTTCTTATAAACGAGAGGAGTCCAATATCAGAGAGCTTTGCATGGAACGCTTCTTTTAATTCTTTCGCAGTTGAAGGAATCAGTTTTTCATCTGCTCGTTGCATCATCGTCGCTAAGTTGATGATTATGAGAGATATAGAGATTCCATAAATGGTACATGATCTATAATCATACGGACCAAATTAAACACACAAAATACAAACATTTGTTAGGAATTGTAAGTATGATGTGAAGGAATAAGAAATATATGGTTTAATTGACATTTTAATCGAATTACATGTAAGGATTAAAACTGAAATGTAAAGTTTAAGTTGACATAAATATAATACAAATTACGAAAGTGAGTAAACTTTTGATTTTCTTGTTAAAGGGTTTTCATTAGTAAAAATTTGTTCTTAATCGAAGAAGATGAAGATGAAGGTGAAGAGGATTTCATTAAGAACAAAAAAAAGAAGTGAAAATTGCTTACTTTATTTTCATGGTTTAAGTATGAAGACGACTGGATTGATGGTAAGTTCTTTAAAAAAAATACACAATATTTTCAAAGTAAATACTATAAAAAAAAATGTAGAAGGGGAGTTACATGATTTATAGTCGACTAAACAAAAAGGCAATTGAAAATAATGAAACAAGATCATTATTTAGGTTTCGAATAGTAACCACAATTAGAGAAAAATACAAAAAAGTAGAGAAAGAAGATCTAGTAAGATTTGAACTTTGAGTGAAAAAAATCAGCTGAATCTGGCGCAATTAATCTTGATTTATTAATGGTTTTGCTTTTTTCTGAAATTTTTATTTCTAGATTTTATTAGATTATACTTTTTTCTATATTAGATTATACTGGCATATAATACACACATCAATAATAGTAAAATACTGATGTTGGTCTTTTATTGGCAAATGGCAATTAAAAAAAATTATGAAATCATTACACGATTTAGTAAGACTTACTACCAAAACGTTCAAGTATTTAATTATTTGATCTAATAAAAAATATTTTTAGTTTAAATAAGATGTTGGTAAATCTTTTTAAATATAGCAGAAGATTATACTTTAACAAAAATTATACTTCAAACATAGTAACCGTTGATTATTTATATCACTTGATCAAAAATTTCATAACTACTTAGTGACTTAGTGTTGTTTTAATTTTTTACACTGAAATTCATGTTGAAGCATGTGAAAAGATTAGTGTATAATTAAAATCCCAAGCACCAACATTATTTGGACTCAAATATTTAAATCTAACCTGTTGTTTCATGGTCGGACTCGGACCAGACTGGACTTTTTGACTTGATCCCTCTGACGGTAAGAACATTTTGCCTCACAAAAGTAATTTAATGGTCTTTGAATTTTTTTTTATAAAAAAAAAGTGAACTTGATCCCTCTGAGGCTCTGACTTCGATGTTATCGGCAGATTTTATTGGTCCATTTGAAAGATTTTTTTTCTGGTTGATTTGTTGTTTATGTAACAATTATATATAGTTACCAAGCGCTAATAACTCAATTGGTAAAGATCTCAGGCAGAAGTTTAGAGGTCGCCGGTTGGAATAGCGTTTGGGACGAAACCATATAATATGCTTTGGTTTCGGGCATGAGGAGATGTATGGACTTTGGCCCAGAACCTCTTTGATTATTCAAAAAAAAAACAATTATATATAGTTAAACAACATAAACATTTGTAGACAAAAACAAAAAAACAACAACATAAACATTTTATTTAAGTTGACCAAACAATAAACATTTTGATAGTGCAATTCTTATTTTCAATAAACATGAAAGCCCTCTAATTATACCACCAACTCAACTGTTTCACAAGTACAGCTTCAATGATGACGACTAATTAACGAACATGAGAATTCTCATATCATCTCTATTCCCCAAGTGCCAGCTCTAGGATTACGATAGCAAAGTTTAACACACCTTAGTATTTAAATTCCAAACATAAATTGTTGCACATGATGTTACATATATATTCTCGAATCATGACACGAGACGGCATCGTTTTGCCCATTCGAATAGAGCTCTATGAGACGACCCACCTTGCGTCCAAGCTCGTTCGGAGCTAACCCTCACCTCCTCAGCTTTAGCCCTTATTTTCTGTCCTTCTTCATCCTCTTCCGCCACAATCTTTCTCACCAGAGATGCTACTTCTTCCCGTCCGATGACTTTCTCCGATGGTAACTCCGATGTCCTCACGGCCACACCGATCTCCTCAGTCAGTAACGTGGCATTCATCCATTGCTCAGCATAAAGAGGCCAAGCCACGATAGGAACTCCTTTAGTCAAACTTTCCAACACGGAACTCCAACCACAATGAGACAAGAACGCACCGACCGATCTATGGCTCAAGATCTCAACTTGCGGTGCCCATTGCGTAGTCACAAGCCCCACACCACACGTGCGGTCCAAGAAACCTTTAGGTAGACTTTCAATAACCTGATCATCATCGCTAGA